CCGAGCTTGCAATTCTCCTCATAGCGGTGGGTGCGGGGATGCTCACTGTCCCTGTCCCTCCCTGGACACATCTCCCCAGACACCTGGCTTTGCAGGTCAACCAAGAGTGCTTCCAAAGCTCGCAGAGATCAGATCAACACGGAGCTGCAGGCACTGCGTGCCCTGCTGCCCATCTCCGCGCGGGAGAAGGAGCGGCTCTCCTACCTCCACACCATGGCCCTGGTGTGCCTCCGGCTGCGAGGGGCTCAGCTGTTCCCTCCAGGTACCCATGGCACTGCTGTACCCCACGCTGGCTTGGCTCTGCGTGGGGCACTGCTCCTGCCCCATCAAGACAACGCTTCACCGTGTGCTCTCCCTGCAGACTTGGCTCTTCCCACGGAACCGGCCGTTGGCACAGAGCTGCTCTCCCTTTTGCCGGGGTTTCTGCTTGTGCTCTCGGCCAACGGCAAGCTGGTCTACATCTCAGAGAACGTGGCTCAGGTCCTGGGCCTCTCCATGGTAAGGTCTCTGCCCACCAGGCATTTGCGGTCACTCTCCCGGTACCTGTCCCGATGCTTTTATTGTGTGCATGGCACACTGCCCCAGCAGGTGCTGGCCTGTGGCTCTGGCAGGCTTCACGCTCGCGGTGCCAGTGCCACGGCCCACCAGAGCAGGCACAGTCTGCGACGGCAGTCCCCTCTCTATCAGGTGGAGCTGCTCGCCCAGGGGGACACAGTCTTTGACATCATAGATGGCCGAGCGCACAAAGACGTGCGCAAGAAGCTTCTCCTCGCCCAGGAGGAGCCCGGCAAGGGTAAGGGAGGCCTCAGCTGCCACCCTGCTCTGGCCTTTCATGGCTGCGAGAAGAGAGCAAGGGCCAGCCTTGCTGGGAACGGAGCGAGGGAGGACCTGACCCGCTCCGGATGGTTTGTTTCCCTGCAGAAGTCACATTTGTCAGCGAGATGTGCACGTCCAAGGCCTTCCGGCTGCAGCATGGAGGGAATCGGGCTGTGGCAGTGCGCGGGCACTTCATAACCCTGCACTGGCCGGCCTCCCCCTCTGCCACAGCATTCCTGGCCCTCTGCACACCGGTCGTGCAGTTGCATGCAGACAGCGATGCTGGTTCCCAGGATGACCTGTTCCAGAGCGTGCACATCCTAGACATGACGTTTACTGATGTCACGGAGAGGTGAGGGGTGCCTGCTCACAAAGCAGCCCCAGCTGTACGTCTTGGGCAGCGAGGATCATTTCCGTTGTGTGTGGGACACAGGCTGGACCCTGCGTGAGCAGTGAGACTCTCCCAGACACTTCTCAAGCCTCTTCTCTCCCCTGTTTGCAACTCATTTCTGTACCCCTGTTGTTTTGTTCTCTCCTCCATCATGCAACAGCTGCTCCTTGCTGACACAGTGCAAACCCTGCAAAGCCTTCAGTCCCCACTCCCCTTCTCTTCCCCAGTGTCACCTACCACCTTGGCTACCGCAGGGAAGAACTGATCGGTCAGTCGTGGTACAGCCTCCTGCACCCTGAGGACGCTGACCTAGCAGCTGCCCAGCACAGGGCCGTGGGTGAGTGTCAGGCCTAGGAACATGCGTGTTTTTCTATGGCTACGTGGTCTAGCTGTACCTGAAACCTGGCTGTCCGGGACAACAGACACAAAGTGAATTTAGTCCTGCCCGCTGTGGCTCCCAGCTCTGAAAAGGACAAAGCAGTGAACTGGTTACAGACCCCATACAGTGTCTATAATGTCACAGGTAGCTTCCAAGCTCGGGACCGTGGCACTCTGCTTCGCCACAGTGCAGAGCGGAGGGACAAGCCCGCTCGAGCCCCAGCTTTCTGAGAGGACAGGGCTGTTACAGATCTGTGGCGTCTGTCCCGCTGGGGCCAGAGCAGCAGACAGACCGCAGAGC